ATTCGGGAGGCCCAGCAGGAGGCCATGAAGGAGGAACATCGGAAGAGCGAGCGGATTGTGGGTCAGGTTTCCTCCTTCGACTATGACAGCCGCGGATTATTGACACTACACCGTAGGGTGTGGGTGCCGTACCACGGGGGTGTGCGCCAGGTCCTGATGGAGGAGGCGCACAAATCTCGATTCTCCATTCATCCCGGGGCGACGAAGATGTATAGGGATCTTCTCCTGGACTATTGGTGGCCCTGCATGAAGCGGGATGTAGCATGGTACGTGGAGCGGTGCTTGACCTGCAGGAAGGTCAAGGCCGAGCACCAGAGGCCACACGGCAAGATGCAGCCGTTGGATATTCCGCTGTGGAAATGGGAGGATATTACGATGGATTTTATCACAAAGCTTCCCAGGACCGCGCGAGGGGTGGATTCGATTTGGGTCATCGTCGATCGATTGACCAAGAGCGCTCATTTTATTCCGATTCAGGAGAGCATCTCGGCCGAGAAGCTGGCCGACATTTATATCAGAGAGGTGGTGGCGCGGCACGGGGTGCCAGTGTCGGTGATTTCAGACAGAGATGTTCGGTTTACTTCCAGGTTTTGGAAGAAGTTTCATGACGAGCTGGGTACTCGTCTGCATTTTAGCACCGCCTTTCACCCGCAGACGGATGATCAGAGCGAGCGGACCATCCAGACGCTAGAGGATATGTTGCGGGCATGTGTTTTAGACTTCGGAGGTAGCTGGGATACCTACCTTCCGTTGGCGGAGTTCTCGTATAATAATAGCTATCATGCGAGTATCGATCGACCTCCCTTCGAGATGTTGTACGGGAGGAAGTGCAGGACCCCGATATGCTGGGGCGAGGTTGGATAGAGGGTCATGGGGAGCACCGATGTAGTGCTCAAGACGACCGAAAGGATTCAGCAGGTCAGGAGCAGACTTCAGACTGCGCAGAGTCGGCAGAAAAGCTATGCTGACAAGCGTCGATCGGACCTGGAGTTTCAGGTCGGGGATATGGTTCTCCTGAAGGTGTCGCCATGGAAGGGCGTCATCCGATTCAGGAAGCGGGGCAAGTTGGGTCCCAGGTATATTGGACCCTTCAGGGTTATAGCCCGGGTGGGCAAGATGGCTTATAGGTTGGATCTGCCAGCCGAACTCAGACAGATCCACAACACTTTCCACGTCTCTCAGCTGCGGAAGTGCCTGGTGGACGACTCAGCAGTAGTACCCTTAGAGGATATTCAGGTCGATGACAGCCTGAATTACATTGAGCGACCTGTAGCAATCCTTGACCGGAAGTCAAAGGATCTGAGGAACAAGAGGGTTGAGCTGGTAAAGGTGCAATGGCAGCACCGGAAGGGCTCGGAATGGACTTGGGATCCGGTGGATGAGATGATGGAGCATTACCCAGAGCTGTTCCAGGATCGAGCAGCAGACTTCGAGGACGAAGTCTAAAATAAGTGGGGGAGATTTGTAGCACCTGGTTCTTGGTATGTATTTTTATTTAAGTATTTTGAATTTTTGGCCTTGGACTCGGCGAGTTGAAGGACCAACTCGCCGAGTAGAAGCGGGATGAGACGCGGGATTTAAGTGATGGACTCGTCGAGTCGGATCCCGGACTCGACGAGTAGGCTCTGTCTGGACAAAACCCTAATCTGAGGGTTTGCACCCTATTTAAACAACATTATACAACCTCCATCGCCCCTTTATGCTCCCAGAGACCCTCCATAGCAAACCCTAGCCGAGTGTGTGAAGTTCTTAAGGCATTTGTGGTGATTTTGGTGGTTTTGTTCACAAAGAAGGAGGAAGAGCATAGAAGGATCAAGAGGAGGCTGAAGGATCCGAGTTTGGTTCATCATTTGCAGCCTTTGAGAGGTATAAAGTATGTACCTTGCTCTTTCATTTGATAGATCCCTTTTTGGGGAGATTTAGGGCTTTTATAAGCCATTTTGGTAACCAACCATGATTGCAAATATGGTTGGGGGTCAAGACTTCGGATCTAGCACTTGGGAAGAGTCACAAGGCAGGTGTGGGTTGCTTTTGCACCCCAAGAAAGGTCCCATGCATCATAAGAGCTTATTTTATGTCCTTTTGAGCTCAAAGTCCCATGCATGCACGTAAAGTTTGTAACTTTACGTTCTAGAACGATTGAAGGAGCTTAGATCTATCTTTTGGTCAAGTGTTGTACATCAGAAATCGAGGATTTTGGGTGTGGACGTTATCGACTCGGCGAGTCCGTTCTTGGGACTCGACGAGTCCAAGGCTTTGAGTCCCATTTCTGTTGAGGGTCAAAAGGACTCAGTTGGGCGTTAGAAGGGTTGTAACAGTACAGAAAGAGTGACCTAACGCACTGGACTTAATTTTAGACCTGGAGTTCATGGGACTCGACGAGTGCTAGAACAAACTCGGCGAGTCCAAGGCAATCTCCTTATGTTTGAAGATGAACTCGATGAGTTGTTCATACAACTCGGCGAGTCAAGGTCAGGACGTGTTCATCAGTTGAAGGTGAACTCGACGAGTGTTCATACGACTCGGCGAGTCGGTTGAAGGTTCATTGATGTTCGTAAGGAAGGGGAACTCGTCGAGTCATTGCCTAACTCGACGAGTCGAGTCGTGGATAAGGACGAGTAAAAGGAAGGGACTCGACAAGTTGACGGCCCAACTCGGCGAGTCGGGTCAACTGGAAGTTGACTTTGACTTGGACTTGGTTGGGGGTAAAATGGTCATTTTACCCTAAGAGTAGATATCAGTTTCTAACTGAGTGTTTGTGGGGATTATAGCCGGAGGATTTCCGGAGCAGCAGCGGACGGAGGTTTCCCGCACAGATTATCAGCAGCTTCTTGTACGAGGTGAGTTACCTTCCAGTAAGGGTGGGTCTAAGGCCACAATATCGGCCCACCAAAGAGGAGTATTTAGAAGATGATTGTCTTTGTGATAATTATCTTGGTTTGGTTATATGTTTTGGTCATGAGTTTTATTTGTATGATATGTTACGAGTATGATAGGGATTGGTTTCCCTGGTAGCGGTCCTTAGGACCGAAGGGTAGGTCAGTACTCGGATATGCCTGACTGTATGTTTATAATTTGTTGTTGTATGCTAGTGGTAGGGGGTGGAATAGTCCCCAGTTACCGGTTGAAAGATACCGATGAGGATTACCGGTTGAAAGATATCGATGATGGTTACCGGTTGAAAGATACCGATGATGATTATCGGTTGAAAGATACCGATGATGATTACCGGTTGAAAGACACCGATGATGATTACCGGTTGAAAGATACTGAGGATATTGTATGGTATGTGGTATGATGGGAGAACTCACTAAGCTTTGTGCTTACGGTTTCGGTTTTGGTTTCAGGTACCTCTTCGTCTAAGGGGAAGGAGTCGGCGGTGTAGAATCGCATCACACACACACACACGATTTCCGCATGGAGTTTCTGGGATTGTACTCTGATATGTTATTATTTTATGACTTGGATTTTTAGACATGAATCATTGTTTTATGGGATGATGTGTTTTTACGGATTTTCTTGTGAATGTTTTTATGTTTCAATTAATTAAAAAGAAATTTTTGGACTCGAAAATTGGGATGTTACAAATTCACACATGCATTTATACTTGATTTTCACAACATTTTCATACATTTTACAGAAAATATCGGATTTTCTGGGTTTTTATGAAAGATACAAAGACTTTTACTCAAACATACTTATGAACTCACCAGCATTATATATGTTGACCGTTTTCAAAATAACTTGTATTCTCAGGTAATCGTTAAGCTGGAAGATATGCAAATGTGTATGGTTTCGTTTTATGTAATAGCACTTATCGTACTTTTAACAATTTGAACTTATGTATTTTAACAATGTACTTGATATGAACAATGCTAGTTGTGTTATGTAATGTTGGTGATGATCGTGTTATGATTCATGTATACTCATTGTGATGAATATTCAATTGTTAGTCACGCGAGCCCCCGGACGTTTCCGCCGTCTGGTTCGGGGTGTGACATACATCATGATTGGATTGTAAAAAATTAGGCATTGTTGATCCTTTTCAGAACAAGTATTAAGTTTGTTTGAATTATAAGTTTGAGGAGGTGTGTTGAATTATTTGGTTTAATATCATTATTCAAACTTATACTTCTATATCCTTTTATCCGTATCCTTTGGTTGTAATTATTTAATTTATATATGGTTATTTTGGTATGTTTTGTATAGTTGTTTTGTTAAAGATTTGTGCAGGAGGACTGGATCTGTAAAGGTGAGGTATTAGCTGGACTGCGACTCACATTTTGTCTGGACTTTGGAAGAAACACGCGGGTCTTGCCCGGTTCGTTACTGTTGGGGTTAAATCCGTTATTTGATCCATTGATTACCCGGATGTATATATTGTCTTGTGTGTGTTGCTGAGATTCAGCTCTCAGTTTTCTCTCGTCATATTGTACAACTAGATTAGGGTTTCTTCCTAGTTTTAGGGTTTCTTCTTTGATGTTCTAATCTATTCTTCTGAGAGTAGATTAGGAAGAGTGATCTTGTAGTGAGGAAGATTGTTTGAGTTGAGAGAGTTTATGTAGTGAGGTCTACATTGTAAGTATTTCTGAAAAACAACCGGTTCTTAATAAAGAGAACTCTTGATGTTGTGAAAATATTGTGTGTTGTTGATCTTGAGTTACTTTTGGAATAGGTTGTAAATTTCAAAAGCATACTTCGAGTCTTCGACTCAAATTTTCGTTCCACCAAAATAAATTATATACTAATTTATAGGACTATAATCGATTTAGTCAACTAAATCAATTCTAAAATCCAAATAATATTATTGAAAAGCTAAATTTACAATCAATCGTTTTCGAATCATATCATAAATCCACCATATCTACTTTTAACTACAATAATTTAAGAATGAGTTAAGTGTGGGAAAACGTCGTAATCAAAAGCTGCCGGCTGCGAATTGATGTCTAATAAAAAAGTTTAAAAGTAAAATAAGATAACATATATAAAAAAGAACATTTATTTCCTTCTTAAAAACACATAGATTCTCGAACTCTTCGAGGCAAACTAAAAATGAAGTTTCTGCTTACTCTTTTTTCTTGTTGTGGCATTGATGAATCCAGGTCTTCATCGGTTTTTAAGGAGAAAAACAATAAAAGTCATAATGTCAGTTTGGTTCGTGAAAAGAAGTTTGGTGGTGGTAAAACAGTTGGGAAAAATGGACACTGGCGGCCGTCGCTATGCACGATTTATGAGGAAGATGTGGTCAAGACAAAAAGAATACAAGTGTATGTACCGAGTAATGCACCTTCTGGATACAAGCATGAGTTCGTGTAAGTTATATGTAGATAAAATTGTATTTTGATTATTTTCTAATTCATACTCGTATTATACAAAATACTCATATTATTTTCTAATTCATTACTCGTATCATAAAAAACAAGTGTATATAAAAGTTGTATGTTTTGTTGAATAAATGATTTTCAAAATACATTTTTGAAAATAATATCATGTACTCGATGACGGGAAAATCTTATTTTTTCTGACTTTTTATTTATGGTTCTTTAGTACATTTATGTCATATAAGGCTTACCAAATTAAATATTTTTCTCGTTAATAAAAAACATTGTGTTGTTTTGAAAGATAATCATGATTTTTAACAATTTCATTTTATTTTCAGGCTACAAGGTTCATGGGATATGTTTTCGCCCGTCCCAACATCGTTTTTGTTTTAGATTTTGATACTATGGAGTATGGACGTGATTAGCAAAATCAAAATCAGCTGGTATATGGAAGCTACATTCATCAAACTAGTTGAAAACTTATAAATATATAGAATTACATAGAACATTAAAAGCTCCAATAGAATATATTAAAATGTGTTTTGGATTATGAGCTTTTGGTATAAAAGCTTTTTTGTTTTTCCTTTTTTTAAAGTTAAAAGCTCTACAATCTCATTATATTTTTTTTCTTTTTCCCACAAATTACAATATTACGGAATACAAAGACGGTTTTGTTATTATGGAAAATCTAGAGAGATGAAGACTGGTGTAAAATAGAAACTATAACACTACTAAATTAGAATTTCATCGATCAAATAAATGAACCATCAAAAAAAACACCACATAAGATGAAACCCGGTCCTAGGGCTAGGGGTCAAATATCCTAAGCCCACTGGGCCCGGCCCAATATCCCTATTGAAAAGAAAATTGAACTAACGGATTTATAAACGGATGTGATGGTAGTGAAACCGTCTAAACATGCAAACATATTAAAACAAACAAGATGAAGATGAATATGTGTATGTGTATGAAATAATTTGGCACACTTTTACCCTTTTCAGTAAAACATCCATCAATCAATCTTTTCCTTGATAAAAAAAAGTGTCAGAAACAAGATTATTGTTTTCCTCTCTCCTCCCCTCCCTCCCTTTCTCCAACGTTGTTCATCCCACATATTGGTACTATCACCGAAAACCCACTCATGCTTCATTCAAGTCAACTCTTGACCTTCACGGGCAGCTTCAAGAAACATAATTTTTTCACCACATTCAGTGCCCGTTGATCTGATGAGGCCTAGTTGCCGGCTGCCCGGTCAGCCTAGAAAACGGAATCTGCCCCTGCCCGGGAACCCCTCTCAACCCCACCTTTGGGTCCGAAACCGATTTGGAGAAGGCTTGAGCCAGCTCCACAGCGGAGGCTGCTTTTCCGTAACGTGGCCCCACCGGTGGTGCGGGCTCCACCGGTTTCCGCCAGGTTTCCGGCGACGGCGGCCGCTCCTGTGGCGTTGGCGGTGGCGGTGGTTGTTTTTCGAGGTCGCGGCTGCTCTTTCGATTCTCGTTTCTCCAGTTGCTTCTTCTTTGAGCATCTGATTTCTCTGCATGGTCTCGGGTTTTACTGGCGGCTCTGTGGTGGTCCAGGGGTTCAGGTTTTCCGTTTTGGCGGGACGTGACAGGTGGATTGTCGGCCCTGGTTATTTCCTTTTTTGCCCTGAAAAGAACAACAAAATGACATATGGATTTTATCATTGTGAAGAATACCAATAGCAATGTAACTTCAGTTTTCACAACCAATATGGGAATTGTACTTTATTTCTTTTCTTGTAAAAAACTAAAAAACAAAGAAGTTAAAGTAGATATTTATTTACCTATTAGGAGGAGACTGGATAGTGTCATGGTTAACAGCAACATCATCGACTCCCCTCTCTTTCAAAACCTTACATCACCAACAAAAATGTCAAAAAAAAAAAATTTGTTCATTTATTTTAGGGCAAAATACAAAAAAAAGCACAACATACTTTCACCATTTTATCAAATTTAGTCACTTTAACTTAATTCAACTGTGACCAACGTTTTATACTTTTCTGTATTTCAGTTTTTAATGAAAACCCGGATCGTTTTTTTCAACAGTTGAAAAAGTATAATTTGTTTATTTGATACTGAAAATGGTTATGCAACTAAATCAATAAAATGACGAACGTAAAAATGTTTTTTTTTTTTTTTTGTATTTTGCCCTTTATCTTAACCTTAAAAAACAAACATTCACAGAAAGACAGATCAGTCCTTACCAATTCTCGAGGGCGAGCACCACCAAACAAGGAATTTCTGTGGAGAACATGACAACAGTAAAAAAAAATGATAAATACACATCAACTTTGCTTTTTAATGTTGGTTATTGAAACTGTTCATTTTTTCTCCCTTTTATTGTTTGATTCTTTCCACATTTTGAAAAAACTCATCCATACTAAAAAAATTATAGTAGAAAAGACGATATGTAGCTTGCAGAAGTGTAGAACCTTTCCATGATTTGAATCTTGAAGAACAGAAAACAAAATTTTAGAAAATCTTTGAGAGAGAGAGAGAGAGAAGAGAGATTACTAACCTTCCTCTATCTGTGTTTCTTTCCATTTGTTCAATAGGCTGTGAACGTGGCTTTAAGTTCACTCTTGGTCTCTCAAATCCCTGATTTCCATCCTCTGTAGGATTTGCATTTCCATAACTCTCATTTCCAGTATCCACCATACCTGCTTCACCCGCCTGTGGGATAACCTACAAGCAAAAGATAATTACCAATTTACCCTCGTATAACATCAACACATGAGGGGTGTCCTCAATTACAATACCTGTTTGTAAGCCACCAAGGGTTCCAAATTCTCAACTGGTTTTGATCTTGGAAGTAACTTCAACTTTGGTCTCTCAGACACCTCTGAAGGCTGCAAATCTTGAACCACATCTGTTCTTGGGACTTCCCGTGGAGCCAGTGGCGGCACCACCTCATTTATGGCCCAACTCCTGGCGGCATCCGGTGTGGTGTATGTGTTTCCCTTTGGTTGGACTTTAGCTTCAGGCTCAGGGTGTCTAATCACCTCTACATCCACCTGTTTATGTTGGTTAGAAAGCCAACGACCTGAAGACACCTTCTCCAGTGCACTTGCATGAGCTAACTTGGTGGCGGCATCAGGAGCCGACCAAGAAGCCGCCACTGGCTCGGTGATTCCGGCGACTTTCCTTGGGCCCCATGCGTTTGGGGATGGACCGGGGTTTACTCCAACATTGGATGATTCACTAAACCTGGCAGCATAAGAAGCTGAGCTGCCACCAGGGAATTGAGAAACAGGGGTGGTGGCAGGTCGATTAGGGACATTTCCGGTCAACAGGTACTCAAATTTTGGCTCCTGGCGAACCGCCACCCCACCACCACCGCCGCTGCCACCACGGATATTTTCATCACTTGCTGTTCGTCTTGGAGTAGAGCCACCATCTAATGGCTTTCTTTCATCTTCATCAAAATTTCGCCCAATTTGGACATTGTGAGAGAGAAAGGGGGTTTTATCATCGTATGTTCTCACTGCACCTGCTGAGCCTGGACGCAGCCTGTGATCTTGTCTTCCCATTGGATTTGTCCATGAAGTATGACGATCAAATCCAGTATGATTCAAAGGCCTCACAGTTCTGGAAGAACAAGAGTGAAGAAATTGTTAAAAGGAAGAACTAAAACCTCACAATGATTTTACTTACAACCAGAAGATCTATGAGCAAGATTAAAAAAGTTGCTCGAAATTGAAACTGATACGAATTTGATGATTTTGAGAGGAGGGAGTACATATTACTATTCATAGAAAAAGGAAACTTTTCCCTAGGGTTTCGAGTTTTCGCTAACAGATCTTTAACACATACACAATAAAATAAATAAAACACACAGATTATCGCGCAAAAAACATCAGATCTAAATCACGCTCATCCAAAATAGTAGAAACAAGAATGAGCAGATTTGCTTTCGTATCAACAAATCGGTAATCTTAAATCCAAAAGTTCAAAAAATGAATCGCGGTACTCACACGCCAGGAGCGGAGGGTAGAGGAAGATCAGAAGGGATTGAACCGCCATGGAAGTCTTTGAGAGTCATGGTAGCTTTCTTCTTCGCCATTGTTGTTGCTAATTCTTGGATTCTCGTTCCTCTTTGGGTCTATATACGAATGAATGTATCGAAAGAGGGTATACAAATGGTTGTGTTCCTTATAATCTCTATGAAACACAGATTTCTCTCTCTAGGGATTCAGAGAGAGAGAGAGAGAGAGAAAGGGACGTTTGCGTTGGAGTCACGGCTAAATACTTGCGAAACTATTTGATTTTTCAGGGATAATGGTCATCGAGTCGGCATGGCTTCTTCGCAAAACTACATGTAAATTGTAAAGGGGTGTTTGGACTTTTCATGCCACATTTTTTTTTTCGCCACAAACTAGCCGCGTTTTTATTGAATAATTTTAGATTTTAGATAAGGGATAAAATGCAATAAAATGGAGACATATGACTTAGAGTTCTTGAGTGTTTTATGTATGTCTAAGTGATGTTAGACTTGGCGAGATCTACCACTTAGGCTTGAGGGAGTGGACGTCAAAAAAGCATCGACTACAGTGTGGGCAAAGAATAGGTTGAGGTGGAAGATGTGGTGGCAAGGAAGAGACTAAGCTGTAAAGAGTTGGGGCTGACCGGCAAACGCCATTTATCTCTCTTTAGCAATGGAATGCCAAAGAGAGAGCAAGAAGACTGATCACAATGGAGTTCTGCATGTATGACACCAATCCCCTAAGTCTTAACCGATCGATAAGATTATTTGTATTTAAGTTTACTATTTATATTGGGCTTGCAATTGTATTTAGTAGATCAAGCTCATAATATCTTTGTAAGATTCTATATAGTTTTGCTTAATGAGAATGAATCATTATAATAAATAATCATTTTATATAATATCAGAGTGTATCATATTTTTTTCTTTCTCCTAAGATTTCTTACTTTCTTCTAAACTAGTCATTTCTTACTTTCTTCTAAACTAGTCACTGACGCACTCCTTCATTGCTGACAACCTTCGTTTCCTCCTAATATTATTCTTTTCTTTCTATTATGACTACCAACACCGAAAAACCTACGAAATTATGAACATCAAATAATATATTTATCTGATTCTTGATCTTAATCGCCTAAATTATGATGTTTGGTGCGAACTTTTTGAATCCCACTACAAAGGGTTTGGAGTCTCTGATCATTTGCAGTCATCGTATGAGAAGTCCCCAACAACTTCAGAAACCACTTAGTGGATCACATTGATTCCATTGCCAAGATGTGAATATACCGAACAATCTCTTAGATATTGCTCTAGAGATTTTTACGACAACAAATATGTAAAAGTTATTCAATTGGATAACGAGCTTCATAACATTACTCTTTGTGATTCTTATATCACTACCTAAATCAAAACAATTGTTGATTTGCTTGAAAACATTGATAGCGTGGTCTCGAAAAAGAACCTTATAACATACACAAGGGAAAACATCTGATGTTAGAGTAAACTTCGGTGGCAGCTCAGCTTCTTATGCCGCCAAGTTTAGTGAATCATCCAATGTTGGAGTAAACTTCTGAAAACATGTTCTTAGAATTTTAATGGATTTTATAAAAATTAGTTTAATATTTACAAATTAATGGACA